GCCCCTTGAAAAACTAGTCGTTGTCATACGTCTGCATGCATACCAATGTATATATCGAGACAACGTAACAGAAAGGTTGGTGTTGTAAGGCCAAACTCCCGATGAATGCCAGATCCCGACCGCTCTAACTAACACCCTCACCATTTGAAAACCATAGTAACTGAAAGTTAATGCATGAGGTGTCAAAGCCCCGACGCATGCCGAAACTCCTGACCTCAAGGCATTTGAAAACCAGCTGCTGGCCTCAGCCGCCCAAAGAGTGACCACACCACAAGTGAACTCTCCAAGTCAAAGGAAGGTGAGACGCCTAACTCCCAACCATTGCTTTAAACTCCCCGACGTAACCAACCCAAGAACATCAAGAATTTTATCGTATAGGCACATACCGACACGCTCCCTGTATTAAGTAGACCAAAGAAAAAAAATAGGTCGCCTCTTTTTGTTTCAAACACTCAAAACTCACATGGGTAGACTTGAGCACTTATGAAACATTATCTATCATCAACATGATGCATTCCTTTAATAGTAATGGGCATTCCTATTAACTCAAATTTAAAGAGTATAAACGAATTAAACCTTTAAGTTGATCTCTTTTCAACCGCTTTGGTATTCCAATCTTCATCAAGTGATGGGTGCCAACATGTCAACTTCTTTAATCTTTTTTTCACTTGAGCATAGCCATCTTGAGCACGTGACTTGGATTCATTCATTAAATATGAATAACTCCAAATACATAAAGTCACTTTCAACACTTTGTCAATATAGATTTGATCCCTCCACATCAACATGACCATCATAGTTTGATTAGTACATCAACTAAATGAAAGTACTTCCTTCTTCTAGCTAGGTTCTTCTAATCGCCAAGCCGTCAGCTGTGCCTCTTCACTCCTGCTTAGTACCGAAGCCTTCCTCATCACTATCTTCACCATCTCAAGCTATCAAGTCACATATTGTGTTGAATCATTCATTCTTTTGTATTGTTATTTTTCAATTTAATTATGGCAAGCTTCAAATATAAGACTGCTCCATATGCAATCCCTCATGCGTCTCATCAACTGTTTTACCGGACTTCCTTTTTCACATAGTACATGGAAATCCCACAACAATATATGTCTTGCATGAATTCCATTTGCATTGTTGTCTTGTGCTTGAACTAGATTATTTATACAACAACACATCATTTTGGCTTTTATTAAGTACATGTGGAGATAACCTCATTACTCTGTCCACACTTAGCAAACGGGTTAGGACATTTAATCACGTTTGTCATTCAATCATCCAAAACCCACTAAAGGGCTAGATGAATTGCTCACATAGTAATGTAAGAGTGTAAACATAACTAGATGATAGTGTAAGTGCATAAAATTCAATTAATGTGGAGAGTCAAATCAACCGAATGTCACCTAGATGTATTTTTTTGCCAAATAACAACTCCTGCACTATCAGAGTTGTTACGGTGTAAGTTACGACATTTCTTTTGTTTTATATACACCAATGGAAAATTATGAGTTTTTACAAGACAATTTAAAAGCCGGATCATTGTATATCTTGTCAATTACTGTTGACTCAGTATTAAAGTGTCCGACGAGACACCATCAATTACAAACTAATAAGTTGACTATAAACATTAAGTGTCCGAGAGGACCCCTGTCAATTACTAAGTTGACTCAATATTATGCCCGAGTGGACACCACAAATGTCCTCTTCGGTATACTATGTATGTTCACTTTATTCGGCCCTAAAATAAATACACATTTTAGAAAAACTCATTATTTTTAAAGTTTAACTAAGGATATAGAAAATAAATATATACATTTGTATGTCTAAATAATTTTACTATAAAATTATATTTTATGCTCAATCTAATAACACTTATTTTTTTTTATCATGAATAATAAATTCACATATATATATATATATATATTTACTTTAAACTTTTTAAAATTTTGTCTTTTCAGAAATAAGATGTGCGCTTATTATGAGACAGTAGGGAGCATTCATTTTCTTACCTAAATTTGTCGTGATTTCACTAATCTGTATTTATGGGTGGGGTGGGGGTGGGGGTGGGGGGACAAATTAAATTTGCATGAAAATAACGAGATACTGTAACCTCTAATCTCTATATACCAACAAAAATATACACATAGCCATTTTTTATCTAATAAATATCGATAAGAGTATTTAAACCATGTACTACTATTGAGTTGAATTCACTGATTATATATTCATCTAAAGGCTAACAAGAACTTTTTAATAAAAGGCTAAGACGAAGATGGTGAAATGTGGATAATTAATTTATGCTTCAGCTCCCTTAGCCCTAGACTTGGGACATGAGTAAGCAATTAGCTAACCCATCTATACGTTATATGGAACCTAATATACTTGGAATCTGAATCTATATTGCTCTCGGACACGAAGTTGTTCTAACTCAGACTGTGTGAACACGGGCCATGAATTCGGATCACATGCAAGATGGAGGGAAGCTATAAGGCGCTTTTTAGGAAAATAAAAAAATAAAAAGCAGGTTGAAAGAAATCAGCTGTCCTTTAATATTAGGTATAGATATAGATATGATATAGATATAAATTAGATAATACTATATTAAGTATAGATATAGATAATATTTATTAAGTTGTGCAAAATAAGACTCGGACCTCGATACTGTTAGCCTTGAAGCTTAATATATCTTTTTTAAAATGCATGTACTACTAGAACAGTCTAAAACCAAAATCCTAAGTTACCTAATTAATAATAAGAAATGGATAATTGGCACCTTCACAATCACAGCTTTGGCACTACTAGAATGCGCAGCTGCTCTAGCTATGGTAGCAATGTCAAACCTGATGGAGACTCCACCAAGTCCAAGGTATCTTGTACAAGTAGTACATGGATATGGATGCGTTCTTTTTCTTTTTATTTTCTCCTTTCACAAATAGAGAAACGATTTCTCGGTTCACACCTTTTAATCTCAATTGTGTTTTGGTTCGAACTAATGCTAACATTAGTCCCGGTCTAAATTTCATTAGCACCAAATGCCTTTTTATCCCGATTGGTATACACTTAACCGGGACTGAAGTCATTCTTTAGTCCCGGTGGTGTTACTTGGTTCAACTAAAGCTCCTTCAACCTTTAGTCTCGGTTGGTAACATCACCGGGACTAAAGATCCCCCCGGGCGAATTCAAAAGGAGAGTACCCAGGACTTTTGTCACATGTAGTGTGCGGTTGAGTTAGTAAGCAAGCTACGCGTGGGACAAGAGTCTTGGGTAGCTTTGGTTCGAATCTCACACAATCCGCAAGAAACAGGGTCTCTAGATTTTAAACTATTTTATAGTTCCAATTCAAGATGGGCTTTG